CTCTCTCTCTCTCTCTCTCTCTCTCTCTCTCTCTCTCTCTCTCTCTCTCTCTCTCTCTCTTGAATATTGATCAAAATTCTTTTCACTTGATGCAAATATGATAAACTTAATGGGGACGGAAAATGCCCATATTCATGTTATAACGGCTTAAGGTTTCTCTTTAGAAGAAGACTTTTATCAACTCAAAAGACGAGACACAAAGAGATACCATTTAGTTTTCCTATTATTTTTTCCCTTTCTGTCCTCATACTGGATTAAGTAAATAATGAAATAAGACAAGTATGTCAGTGTCCTTGTTTGTTTACATGCATTTAGGACATATGGAAAGATTTTACCATTACTGGGAAAGCCAGAAAAGGATAGTTTGCATATATGGATCTATTTCACTAAATGTGTGTCTGTTTATCCATCTCCTATCTGCATCTATCTATCTACATCGCTATCTATCATATGCATCTATCTATCTACTATATGTCGTATATATATGCATCTTTATATCATATGCATCTATTATGTACTATATGATCTAATATATGCATCTATATATCATAGCATCTTATCTATCTACTATCTATCTATCATCTATCTATCTATATGATATCTATCTATCTACTATATTCTATCTATTATTCTATCTAATATATTCATCTATCTACTATATGTATCTGTCTATCTACTATATGCATCTATCTATCTATCCAATATATGTCAGCCAGTCTTTCGAAATCTATCTTTCTAGTAATGTATCTATTTACCAAACTATCTGTAAATCTGAATATCTACCAATCTAAATCTATTCAGTTACCAGTCTGTCTATTGGTCAGTTAACCTTCCAATCTATATCTATCAATCTATAATTGTCTATTTAACAACTAGTTTACGTCTATCTATCTGTCTAACCAGAGAGTGTCACGAGTGTCTATATCCGCCTATAATACTTCCTTATCATAGAGTAAAACATTAAATTAAAGAAAAAAAAAATGTAGCGCTTCAAGCCTCGCCTTCCACTTAACAAAGGCTGCCTGGCTGGGGTGATATCTGGACGAACTTAACATCCTACTTACAAGGATGGCTTAAGGATTACTGATAAATGAAACAATTAATCAATTATGAAAGTAAAGCAAGCTATATATATTTTTAAAAATCCTTTATTAACGTAAATCACTTTAAAAAGGGAAACCAAAATGCGGCCGTTGCTTCACATCTGGCAGAATTCCACCTGAAAATCAGCTGCCGCTTGGCCACTAAAACGGCACAAAGCCACTTTATTAACAATCCAAACCTGCACACGTTTTGGAAACCGCGACTCACGCCCTCTGCGGAGCCCAACGTCGGAGGGACATCCAAAGGCTCGAGGTATTTCGCTGGACCGTCACGGCAGAGAATTGAAAGCGAAATGCACGAGGAAACCAATTGGAGCGGCGACGAGTGCCTGGCGGACTGCTCGGCCAACTTGCCTTTTCATGACGGGCTGAGTGCTCGTGCAGTATCCTGCCTGTGACAGTCCTTTGCTGCAAGTTTGGTTACATTCTGCTGTGCCTTATGAGCTGCCTTTCCTTTCTTCCTCAGAATGGAATCGACTTTTTTCTCGATTAGATATGCATTATCTCCCAAAGAGAGTGAAATGAGATCGAGCAAATTCCCAACCTTTTAATCACTTTATCCTTCAGGGCTGTCTCTCCCTCTTCCTGGTTCCTGACGCCGCCACAGCTCTGCTTTGCTGCGCCGCGAGGCACTCGACGGTGATTCGCCGGAGGTTATACATTTCGACGGTAATTTGCCGAAAGGTGGGTTGGGTTCCCGTAGAGTTTTTGAATTTTGGCGCGTCAGCCCGTATAATTTCGAAGTTGATGGTTACATCCGTAGAGTTTAATTGACCAATTTTAAGCGTTTTTTGTGCTAGTTTTACGCATTTTTAATCGTTATTATTCTTATTTAAGCCTGTTTTACCCCATAATTTCCCTGATACATTTCATGCCCTCCCCTGCTAACGGGACTAACAAATAAAGATCGCTGATGGAGAAATGGTACTCCATCTGAACGATTCATTCGCAGTAGGAACAACGCCAAGAATCGATGAAATCATTGGATTTCCTGCAGAAAACATCATATCCGGTGACAATTACCTATACAGCTACCACCATTACCACAATCTCTACCACTACTAGTACAAATACTGCTGTTGCTGCCATTTCTACCGCTGCTATTATTTCTGCTACTCCTACCATCACTTCTTCTTAAATAGGTTTTCAGGTGTTGAAGATGAAAATAGTTTAAGTCAGCTCTTGCTTACAAATCAATGTATATCCTTTGATAACGCACTGGATGAGGGGTGGAAGATTATCCTTTGTAATAAAGAAAACAATACGGCGGTATATGCTACAGCCTTTAACGTTAATAAATGATTTTTTCAAGCATGGGAAAATTGTACCGTTTCACGTTTTTTTTTTTTTTTTTTTTTTTTTTCTGGTGTTAACGCCTTTCCTTGGGGCAGTTCCTG